CCACACTCACACTTTCCCCTCTCCATCCCCCCCACGCTCATGCACACTCACACACGTTCCCCTTTCCATCCCCCCCACACTCATGCAGTCACACACGTTCCCCTCTCCATCCCCCCGACACTCATGCACACATACACACACTCCCCTCTCCACCCTGCAGCCCAGCCTGAGTCATCTGAACAGGGAACAGTGTTCCCAAATTCCTAATCACTCACTGTGGGACATGCTCCATCAGTAATCATCCAAGAAGGAGCCATGGTGGCACAGTGGTTTAGTGCTTAGCTGCTATCCAAAAGGTTGGCAGTTCAAACCCACCAGTGGCTCTTTCAGGAGAAAGACCTGGCGATTTGCTTCCATGAAGATTACAGCCTAGAAAACCCTATCGGGCGGTTCTTCTCTGTCACAGGGGGTTGCTATGAGTCGGGATCGACTTCACGGCACCCAACAGCGATGACAGTCGTCCCAGAGGAGGATGGTTCAGCCATGGGGGCGCCCTGCCCTCAGATCACTCATCACCAGAGGAAACCTGTTCCCAGACGCTGAGTCCATTTTGCCTCATAGCGCCCCCATGTGTCAACGTTGAACTGTTCAGTTGGGTTTTCTTGGAAGCCAATCGTCAGGCCTTTCTTCTGCTTGCCTCTGGGTGGATTCAAACCACCAACCTTTAAGTTAGTAGTCGAGTACAAACCGTTGGCACCACGTAAGGACCTCGAGGAGCAGTTAAAAGCCAGTTGCCATCGAGCTGACTGCTACTCGTGGTGACCCCATGTGCTGTCTAGGGTTTTCAGTGACTGAATTTGTGGGCGTTCATCACCAAGCCTTTCTTCCGAGGTGCCTCTGGGTGAACTCAAACCTCCAACCTTTCCGTTAGCAGCCGAGCATGTTAACTGTTGGCACCACCGTATACTAAAACTGCCTGGACATTGATATTTGGAAGAACACAGGCTGTAACGACGTCTGACTCTACGGGGCCGTCGAGCATCTGCTGCAGACGGAGAAGAAAGGAGGGCCAGTTCCCAGCAGATTTCTTTTATTGTTTTCGTTCACGGCTACAATATCTTGTTGTTGTTTTTTTTTTCAACTTAATTTGGAACTAATTAGAAACTTACAAAAAGTTGCAAAAATCAGCCTCCCCCGAGGTTCCTCATATTCCCCTCCCCAGATTCACTGAGTGTTCACACCTCACCCCATTTTCGCCGAACAGGGAGTTGGCTCCACGTGTCCGGAGCCCAGCTTGGTGAGAGAAGGGTGTTGCCCTGAGAGGTCATGCTTCCTGCTCCACCCCCCCCCCAGGCGCGGCTGGAGCGGGACCTGAGTAACAAGAAGATTTACCAGGACGAGGAGCTGCCCGAGTCGGGCGCGGGCAGCGAGTTCAACCGCAGGCTCCGGGAGGAGGCGCGCAGGAAGAAGTACGGCATCGTCCTCAAGGAGTTCCGCCCAGAGGACCAGCCCTGGCTGCTCCGCGTCAACGGCAAGGCGGGCCGGAAGTACGTGGGGGTGTGGCCGGGGAGGGTGCCAGCCTCGCCGCCAGCCCGCGCCCCCAGTCCTCACCCCACTCAGCTGGTGATCTCCTTGAACCTCAGCTTCTCATCTGTTCAGCGGGGGTAACAGTACTTCTTGCTTTGCAGGGTTTTATTTTTTTTTGTTTTTTAATTCTGGTAAAAATACATACAACAGAGCATACAGCCATTTAACAGTTTCTGCACGTTCATTGACAGTGGTGACGTTCTTCCTTGTGTCAGCATCCTCGCTGTCTCTGCCCCTATTGTTTCCCCACCGTTAGCTTAGACTCTCTGGCCCGTAGAGTTCTCCTCTGTGTTTTAGGGTGACTGTTGGCATCTCAGTCTCGTGGATAATTCAGTAGAGTTTTTATTTGTTTATTTATTTTGGATGCGTTTTATCATTGTACCAGTACCAGACTGTTTTGATCACGTAGCTTTATAATGCGTTTTAAGATCAGGAAGCGTGAGTCCACTTATATGGTTCTTTTTCAAGATTGCTTTGGCTCTTCAAAGCCTCTTGCCTTTCTGTATGAATCCGAGGATTAGCTTTTCTGTTTCTGCAGAGATGGCTGTCAGAATTTTGGTGGGGACTGCAGTGAATGTATAGACCAACGACTTTTTTTTTTTCTTTTGAGATTTTTTTTTTTTTTTTGGTGAAAATACACACAACAAAACATACACCCGTTGACTAATTTTTACACACGCAGTTCACCGGCAGTGGTCACTGTCCCTGTCTCTGCCCCTGTAGTTTCCCCACCGTTGGCTTGGACTCTGCCCCTTAGAGTCCTCTGTGCCTTAGTTACTGCTGGCCTCTCACACGGGTCATTCTTTACGGGAGCGCCAGGCTCAAGGCGACACTCTGTATTGATTGATGTGAACTCGCTTACTTTAACGATGACTTCCTGGGCCGGTTTTGGTTCGGGGTGTAAAGGTTTTTTCCCGGCAGGAGACTCGGGGGGTCCCTGCGGTCTCGGTGTGTTCGCTGAGTTGGGTTTCCAAGGGTTTTGTGTTTGTTTATTTCGTCCACCACTTTCTCCGTGTGCCGTTCGGTGACGCCGATTACAACCTTCAGGTTGTGCGGCCGTCTCCCCCCCGCCCGTTAACACACACTCCCTGCCCCTGAGCTTCCTGTCCCTCTTCCGAGCTGCTGTCGTCAGTTTGATCCCAGGGTTTTCTTTCCGACGGTGAGCCGAGCGGGTGCGGCGCCTGGCTCGGCAGCAGCTCCACGTGCTGCACTCAGGAAGCCCAGGCAGTGGCCTGGCTGCAAACAGAAAGGGGTACACGCGGGGCCGGGGGGTCAACAGGGTTGTAAGGGTGTCCTGGAGAGGGCAGCTGGGGTGCGCCGTGAGGGGTGGGGGTTCTCAGAGGCCAGGTCTTCTGGCTCCCGTGGGCAGAGCTGGGAAGTGGCCCTCTGGGCTGCAGGGCCCGTCCCAGTGGAGGTGGGCGGCGCCCAGAGGGCCGGTGGCGGAAGGGGGCGCTGAGAGGTGGGCGGGGCTGGCCCACGCAGCGCGGGGGACACCAGGATGTGGCTGTCCCCTGGGCGGCTGGAGCAGGGTCCAGAGCCTTGGGCGGGTTGTAGGCAGGTGAGGGCCTGCAGACAAAGATGGCCCCGGCTTCTGGGTGGAGAAGGTTGCAGTGGAGGCCGGGAGGAGGTGGGACAGTGGTCCCTGCTCGAGGCAGTGGTGCGGGGATTGGCTCTTGCTTCAGATCCTGTCACACCTTCCTGTCTCATCCCCACCCCCACCCTCACCTGGCCCCTCAGGCCCTCCCCCCAACGCAGCCCGCAGCTGCAGGTGGTCTGATTCCGGGACATCTCCTTCAAAGCTCAACAGCTTAACACCTGACCGGCTCTGCAGGTGCGGAGGGCTGGCCCCATTTTCCAGATGTGGAAATGGAGGCTCAGACAGTTGAAGGGCTGCCCGAGGCCTCACAGCTCATTCCCGCGGAGCCGAGAGTCCTGGCTTTTCGTCAGAGAAGCCAAGTGGGCTCTGTCGAGGATGCGGGACCGGGGGCGTATGGGGGACGGTCCTGGTCCCACAGGCCCGGCCGTGACTGTGGCTCCCCACAGGTTCAAGGGCGTGAAGAAGGGGGGCGTGACGGAGAACGCGTCCTACTACATCTTCACCCAGTGCCCCGACGGCGCCTTCGAGGCCTTCCCGGTGCACAACTGGTACAACTTCACGCCGCTGGCCCGGCACCGCACACTCACGGCCGAGGAGGCCGAGGAGGAGTGGGAGAGGTGAGCGGGCCCGGGCAGGGGGAGCGGGACGCGGCCACCGCGATTTCCCAGGAGGACGGGGACCCACGCGCTTGGAGGTGGGCTCAGTCACCCGAGCTTTGTCCCCAGCCGCAGGCTGGCTGCCGGGAGCTGGGACTCTGGGGACCCAGCCAGACCTCCCGGCCCTCCCGGAGCTCCCAGCCCAGTGGGGAGATGGGCAGGAAGCCAGGCGGGTCCGTCAGGGCAGGGCTGCAGTAGAGGGCTCCCAGGGCGCCCTGAGAGCCAGAGGCTGCAATGGCTAAGCCAGGCCCTGCAGCGTGAACAGGCCACGCAGGGTGGACGGGCCTCGGCTTCCCAGAGGCAGGAGATCGCCAGCTGGATCAGCTGCAGCTCAGCCACGGGCATGGTGTGACCCCTGACAGTCTGTCCCGCGGGGAGAATGGGCGCCCTGTGCAGAGGTCCTGGGCAGTGGTGTTCCGTGGTGGAATCTCACCTTCCATGTGGCGACCCCACGCACAGCGGAACGACACGCGGCCCAGTCTCACGCCATCCCATCATCAGTTGGGGATGGACCGTTGTGATCCACAGAGTTTTTATTGCCAGGTTTTTAGAAGTCGATTGCTAGGCTTTTCTTCCTAGTCCATCTTAGTCTGGAAGCTCTGCTGAAACCTGTTCGGCATCATAGCAAGACGCAAGCCTCCACTGACAGATGGGCGGTGGCTGCGCATGAGGTGCCTGGGCTGGGAGTGGAAACCAGGTCTCCCTCATGGACCGCGGGAATCAGAAAGGTTACTACGTTTGGCGAGGTTCTGTTAGCCGAGTAAGACCCGAGGGAGGTGTTAAGACCCCGGCATCGCACCAAGACTTTCTCCCGATGGACTCGGGACAGAGAACTGGAAGGGGGCCTGCCCTCCCGGTGGGATGCCAGGGTATTTGGTGCCATGTGCTGTGGTCCCCTGGAGTTCAACCATTTCTCAGGTCCCCTAAGTGGCGTCTGTGGTACCCGCTGGCTGTGCGGGAACCGCCAGGTGGAGGTAGAGCTGGTGCAGAGCCCCAGGGCCTGGGGGCTATGGAGGGGGCGCTGAGGTCCCTGGGGGTGCAGACGATTCCCAGTCTTCAGGCTGATGGCCTGCTGGTGCCCAGGGCCCAGGGGCTGTGGAGGGGGCGCTGAGGTCCCTGGGGGCACAGGCGGTTCCCAGTCTCAGGCTGATGGTCTGCTGGGGCCCAGGGGCCGTGGAGGGGGCACTGAGGTCCCTGGGGGCACAGGTGGTTCCCAGTCTCAGGCTGATGGTCGTCTGGTGCCTGGGGCCCGGGGGCTGTGGAGGGGGCGCTGAGGTCCCTGGGGGTGCAGGCTGTTCCCAGTCTTCAGGCTGATGGTCTGCTGGGGCCCGGGGCCCGGGGGCTGTGGAGGGGGCGCTGAGCCGGCCCTGCTGTCCCAGCACAGGAGGAACAAGGTCCTGAACCACTTCAGCATCATGCAGCAGCGGCGGCTCAAGGACCAGGACCAGGACGACGAGGAGGAGGAGAAGGAGAAGCGTGGCCGCAAGAAGGCCAGCGAGCTGCGCATCCACGACCTGGAGGACGACCTGGAGATGTCGTCGGACGACAGCGAGGCCAGCGGCGAGGAGGGTGCGGCCCGGGAGCCCCTGGGGGCTAGTGAGGGGCTCAGCCTGAGCCCAGGCTGAGCCCCTCCGCTGTTCCTCTCCCCCCGAAGGCGGCAGAGCCCCCAAGGCCAAGAACAAGGCGCCGGCGGGCAAGGCGGGCAGGAGGAAGAAGAAGAAGGGCCCGGACGATGAGGCCTTGGAGGACAGTGACGACGGGGACTTCGAGGGCCAGGAGGTGGACTACATGTCCGACGGCTCCAGGTGAGGCGGTGGGCGGCGTGGAGAGGCCCCAGCCCGGCTGGGGGGACGTGCTCACCCCTGTGCCCCCTGTGTCTCACAGCAGCTCCCAGGACGAGATGGAGAGCAAGCCCACAGTGACCAAGCAGGAGGAGGGGCCCAAGGGTAGGTGAGGGGCCGGTGGGGGGCCCGGGCGGCAGTGAGGGGCCAGCGGGGGGCCCGGGGACTGGCGAGGGGCCCAAGGGTAGTTGAGGGGCGGTGGGGGGCCCAGGGGCCAGTAGCAGGGCCTGGGGGCTGGTGGGGGGCCTGGGGGCGGCAGCTCGGCCCCCCGCTCACACCTGCTCCTCAGGTGTGGACGAGCAGAGCGAGAGCAGCGAGGAGAGTGAGGAGGAGAAGCCGCCCGAGGAGGACAAGGAGGAGGAGGAGGAGAAGGCGGCTCCGACCCCCCAGGAGAAG